ACCTAAATGTTAGATTAGAAAAACTATATTACCTCGAAGAGTAAAAGAAACTACCGGTATATTTTCTACCACATCCAACGACAGTAAGTGTAATGTCAGGGCTTTGAAATAGTAAAAAGTTTCTTTTTATTGTTGCAGGTTAGTCGTAAAGTTGATCGAGTTTATGCTTTTCGAAAAAAGCAACTAATTGAATGGTGTAATACACTTGATAGTTACGAAGTGGTGGTTGATATGTGGACAGAAAAATATACCGGTAGTTTCTTTTACTCTTCGAGGTAATATAGTTTTTCTAATCTAACATTTAGGTATTCATTTTTGTGGAGCTAGTTTACGTTCACTTGATTCAGATTTTCATCTACATTTGTTTTCTTTGGGTTGTAAACCATACACATTAGCTAATCAAACAGCTCCCAATATTAGAAAATTTATTGATGATTTACTTGCTGATTATAATCTTTCATTAAATCCAAACTCGTTCATCGTCAGCGGCAATGAGCTAAAAATGCTTGCTGCTTTACGTGGTGTTAATCGAGTAGGGTGTAGTGACCATTATCTTAATAAAATATTAGAACATTCGTTCACAGCACCAAAAAGTGATTGTATTCAGGTGATTCAAGTGTTTGATATTGTAAAAACACTAGTTGCAAATTTTCGTCGTAGTCATCGACAGGTAAAACTGTCGAGAAAACTTCAAACATTTAGTCCAACTAGGTTTAGTGGTGCGTATTATATGCTGGTGAGTTACACTTGACTAAATCAGGTAGCTATTCAGCATCGTATTATGATATATTCTAGGATGTCTTCAATATTGCTTATAATGAACTTATTGATTTTTTTGTGGTTCACATTATCATGATTTTGAATCTATTGATAAAGATTTATTACAAAAAATTTGCGAATTTCGTCAACCATTCGATGAAACGATTACAATTCTTAGTGATGAATCACAACCAACACTTCACAAAGTTATTTCTCTTCGAAAGTTTTTGATCGAACATTGTGTACCAAAACAAGAAGATTTACCTGGTATCAAAAAATTGAAACAATTTTTAAGTAAGTGAAGCATATAATGACCGAAATAAAAAATTGTCTTTTTATTTATTTATAACCAACCAATCATTGAATACTCAGAGGAAAGCTAATGACTTTTTCAAATTAAGAGAATATTTATAAATAAAATACATGACAAGTAGATATGTTCTCAAATATATTAAGATCTAATCCAATTCTGCTACAGCAATTCAGAAAGAGACAATATAATAAAGACAAGTCGTGCAGGTTTAAAAGAAAAATATAACCAAATAGATCTGAATAAACCAAAGCAAAGAACATTGCTAAAAAAGTTTGCAGTTTCCTTTGAAGTGATTTGATTATTGGTATGTCCGAGAAATTGAATTATGGATAATGCAGACATGAATCATTGAAACGTTACATCTGATATTTATTTCGGTAATTGTTTTCATTCTTTAGAAAAGGAAATCATAGACCAATGGCCTATTCAAAATGAACATTTATTAGCTACATTACTACATCCTCGATTGCGAGATTTTTCTGGCGATCAAGTATTAAAACACGAGGCAATTCAACTATTGCTATTTATACTAATTCAACCAATAATAATTCATCAATTTCAAGCATATCTTCATCATCAGTTTCTAATACATCTACATCATCATCATCAATTTCTTATACATCTTCATCTTCATCATCAACTACTTATGCATCTTCATCATCACCTGTTGATAATTTCGGCACAACTAAAAAATCGAACGTTCTTTCGTTATGTTATGATAAACCACGGACTTTAAAACCAGTACATGATGAAGTTTCTTTATGGTTACAAACTGATTTTGATATGGACATTATCCACGATGATCTGTTATTGTTTTGGAGGAACAAAAAGGATGCATTTCCCAATATTGCTAAGATCACTCGTAAGGTATTGGCTATTCCTGCAGCCAATACCTCAGTTGAGAGACAATTTTCTTGTAGTAAAATTGTAATTGGCGATCGTAGAACCCGACTTGGTGCCGAAAAACTTGACAAACTGATCTTCTTACAGAAAAATTTATTGCCACTTAAAATTATGTTTGCTTCGAAAACTGTTTTAACAAATGAGTTAAAACGCAAAGCTGATGATATACATGAAGAAGATGAAGATAATAACTGTACGTCAAAAAAGTTAAAATTTAATGAAGAATATGAATGTTTAAGTGATGATTATGAAAGTGAAAGAGAAAACTAGCATCAGAATAATAGTAAAGTTGTTATCTGTACAAATTGAACTTATTGTTTTTTCATTTTTTTTTTATTTTAATTAAAATTAAATATGAAACATGAACATAATGAATAACTGCAATTTCTTATTTTTCAATTAAAATACGAAGAAGAATTGTTTTTTTTCTCTTGCAACTTCTTTTTTTACTTCAGCTTTCTCAGCCACGGTTATGTCACGGTCACGACCTGCTTGGTCACGGTCACGAGCTACTTGGTCACGGTCACGAGCTACTTGGTCACGGTCACGATCATAGTCACGGATATTTTTCCGAAATTAGTCACGGTCACTATCACGGTCACGCGTGACCGTGACCACTTTGCAGAAGTCTAACCCACACACCCACACCCACACCCATCCACCCACACACACCCACACCCACACCCACACCCATCCACCCACACACACCCACACCCACACCCACACCCACCCACCCACACACACCCACACCCACGC